CAAACGAAAAAACTGTATTTTCACCAGAAACGTCCAATGTGCCATCCACCGTGAATCAGCCTGTATATATACGAGTCTCCTATACAACTTGATAAGAATATTGGAAAGTTTTAATATATTTCTGAGCTACATGATTACAACACTAGAAACAACAATCATCCGTTAATATACGGTGTAACGTGCCTTTTTAGTTACGGGTTTATTCAGTTACGATTTTTATGACAAGCATCTTTCGGTTCACCACAGTGGAGACGGGGTGGGTTCAAAGTATATTGATAGCAATATTTGGGCACCAGGTGAATTTAATTGCCGATATAGAATGCCTGAGTATTAAACTATTCCCCCAATTTACCAAGTGGAATAAAAAAAAACAAATGACAACGTACCAGTACCAAACTTGTATTACAATATCTCTTATTATGGCTTTGTACAATCGGTGTGACCGATTGATAACATTTGGAAACAAAATGAATACATTCACCGGAAAATTATTTCCATTAAAAAAAATAACAAATGAACAAAAAAAAATTCGCGATTTCTGCACATCNCTTCACAACCAGTTATATCTCTTAACACAACACAATTAAAACAAGTAATAAGCTGTGTTGCTTTGAGAACAGCCACTTTTTCTCTATATCATTGTCGAATCTGTTACAGCGTAAGGCTTTGGGAAAACTCCAGCCTATCTTCTAAAATTTTCAAATGTCAAAAAAGCTATAAGAATAATTGCCAGTGTTGGTTTTCGTGATTCTTGCAGAAATTTGTTCAGTGAATTGAAAGTCATGACAAAGTTTTCTGTATATATATACGAGTCTCCTATACAACTTGATAAGAATATTGGAAAGTTTCAATATATTTCTGAGCTACATGATTACAACACTAGAAATAACAATCATCCGTTAATATACGGTATAGGTTTTCTACATCATTTAGTAATTTCCTTGATTTAAACTTATTCAATAAACTCCCAAATGATGTGAAAAGTATGAATCATTAGAAATTCAAAAGTACAATCAATTTGTTTTTCATTAGGAACTCTTTTCACACTCTTGACGAATATAAACTTTGCCATCTGTATTGATGCAAAACAATGAGTTTTTATACAGGTGAATTTTCTTAAGCTTCTAGTTTCTCGTCATGTATTAGTTTAAGTAATTTTTAGCAATTATTTTTATATGTACCAATTTCATGATAGTCTCATTATGCTATTATTATCAAAACAAAAAAAACTGTATATGCATTGGAACTGTATATGTTCATGTATTGTGACTTGCTACAAATGTTTTCAACATAACGTAATCAAATAAACTATGTTTTTTTAATTTGACTTTGAACTCAATTGAACAAAATATAAATGAGTCATAAAAATTAAAAAAAATATTTTTGCTTGATTAACTTAAGATTTAACGTCGTATTTGTTATTTTTCACATATCGAATTTCATAACCCAAAAAATTGTTCGGGAATAACAAATACACATTCATGAAATATCGAAATTTTATTGACGATCATTATTCAGATTCACAAAAATGCTCAGTAGTACCTGCGGATCACATTTTCGTCATGTTTTTATTGTTTCTTTAGGAACAACAACTTCAGGTGGTTTGTTAAAGATAAAGTAAAAAATCATAGATGATAAACTAGTGAGCGAACCGATAATTACAATATAAAACACATATCTAAACCAAAAGTCATTCTCTATCGTTTCTGCTTCTCCGAGGTACCAAATCAAACACATTGTGAAATTCTCTATGAAAACCAACACAAAATATCCGTAATAAATAAAAGTTGCTTTTTTGAATTTGATTTTGAACTCAATTATACAAAATATATAAATAAGACCCAAAAATAGAAAAAAAAATCCCTTTGCTCGATTTACTTCATCGGATTTAACATCGTAGATAAGGAAGGCTATAACGATAAGAAAATGTGAACAAAGCAACAAGATCGATTTTTCGAGAAAAAAATATGCAAACACTGAGATCGCTAGAACTCTTGCTAAAAGAAAAGTGAACCACCAGAAAAATGCTATAACTTTTCCTGCGAGATCATCATCTTCCATTCCTTTAACGTATATCACTCGTGATATATTGAAATCTGGTTCAGATATACCCAGTTTAAAATGTTTTATTTGTTCAACTGCTGCTGACTTTCGATGAACAGTTGGAGGTCTTGAAGTATCTGAAAAATGACAAGCGAAGATAAGGGTTGAAATGTTTCATTGCTATGATTGAAGATATACTCAAAAAGCTTCTCTTTATATTTGCTACTCAATGACTTTCAAATTTATATAAAAAAACAAGCAACACTCAAGTGTATGTATAAAGTTTTGTGATCACAACTAACACATATATTGAGTTTTGTTAGAAATGTGGCCAACTTAGGTCACTAACTTATCTACATCATACATATTCCATCGATATATACATCTCGCTATATGAATATAAATTGAATGGTTTTTATTCAATGATAATAATGCTGTTCATACTCCCAATCTGTTATTACTACTGTTGGAAGAATGAATACCATATTTTCACTAAGAAGTTTTACAACTATAAGTTTTACAAATGTTCTGAGATTTTTGGGGTTCAAACTTTTTTTAAGGACAAAACACAAGCACTACAGAAAAATCCTTAAGGTGCTCTTAGAGCGGTGCCTGTGCGAAAGTAGCGATTCACATTAGATTTAAATCGCTGGAGATTAAATCAATTCGGAAAGAAGTTCTCAGGAAGTTTATTTCACATAAACGCAGTTCTAAATGAAAGAGTTCTTAAACAGTGAAGTTCGAGGTGTCAGATGTTCTGAAATCCAAACGGAAAGACGAGACAAGTGTGATGTCACCAGTAAAGCAATAGACAATATGGATCCTTGTAGAATACCAGCGTTGATGGTATTCTACAAGGATGGTGATATCCATCGACGGTCACTTGAGGAAACGTTCTTTCAGGAAGCTGGTGATCTTTCAAGACAGGTTGAAAAATCTGCAAAATACCGTTACGAGTTCATTGGCGCACTTTTTGAGTCCGATGACGAGCACTTCATCAGGACCAGACGCCTTGTTGATATACAGCTTTTTCAAAATTCGCCTGATTAGACATTTCTGAAGAAATGAACTTTAAATGTTCACACAGTAGGTTGAATGGACTGACGCCTATCAGAAAACATCTACTCCACTGGGTAATACCACGAACGGCGTTGGATTATATCCGACAGGCGTCAGTGCAAGAATCTTCACAGAAAATTTCCTACATGTGCAACTGGCAATACAACTGAAAGAACGAGAACACTTGTAGACCGGTTTCGATCTCCTTAGCCACTCATCAGTTCAAGATAGTGACCAGCATCAACCTAAAGTCAATGATATTCTAAAAAAGTATTTCAGAGTATTTTATTCCTCGTCTTGAGTTGGAGTGAACAACAAAAATGTCACTCCATCTAGTGGACGAGGTACTAACCAACTGCATATCCAAATTTGACCGATTCCTCTGAATAAGGAAGAAAAACTTTCTTATTAGTCAGTCGTCCAACTAAGACGAGGAATGAAATACTCTGAAAGAATTTCGATTTTCAATTATGGAATATCATTGACTTTAGGTCGATGATGATCACTATCTTGCACCGACGAGTAGCTAGGGAGCCCGAACCGTTCTATAAGTGTGCCCGTTCCAAAATTGAAGGTCGACTCATTCAGTTGTATTGCCAATTGCATTTGCAGGAAATTTCCTGTGAATATTCCTGCACTGACACCTGTAGGATATAATCCAACGCCGTTCGTGGTATTACCCAGTGGAGTAGATGTTTTCTGATAGGCATCAGTTCATTCAACCTACTGTGTAGGTATATCCGAGACTGGCTTGAACATTTAAAGTTCATTTCTTTAGATTTGTTTACTGCCAGTCTTCAAGCATAGCCCACTGACTAATAAGAAATGATTAGACATTGTCGAAAAGTATTTTCCGGCATTGTGGTTTCTAGTGTGGAAATAGTGGGTGGTGCCTTTCCCAGAACATCGACTGTGGAGTGGGACGCAAATTGTTCAGCTATTAAATTTGCTTTTTTTTAAGCTGTTATTGCAATTGAACCATCTGCTTGTGTTAGTGGTGGAATTGTGGATTCTGTAAAGTTTTGATTAACAGCTTTAGCTACCGACCAGAAGGGTCTAGACTCGTTGGGATTAGCAAGCATTTTATCCTTAATTTTCCTATTTTGAAGTTCTTTGCTTTCATTTATTTCAAGTTTGAAATCAAATTGAAAAACTTATCGGTATGAGAATCGAACCCAGGTCGTCGGCGTAGTAGACGTTGTCCTTAGCCTCGACACCAACGTGGAATATTGGAAGGAAATGCAAATTGTTGATATTTATAGCGGTTGTTTTGTCGGGACCGAAATTGACTCATTCTCTATACTTGACCGCATTTTTTTATTTCCGTAGAATTTTAAGAAGTTGTGACGTCATTTCCATGTAAAAGATAGGGAAATATCCTGAGATTTGGGATAGGCTAGATTTTTGATGGCTTGCTCGCCATCTTTGTTGGACCAAGGTTTACCGTTAGAAGTTCGTTTCATTGGAAGAGGAATCATGGATTATAGAATAACTTCCGTGACGTCAGAAGCACAAGTTGATGGATCATTGAGCTGCAACAAACATCTAGCAAGGGGAAAGTTCGAAGATGATTTTGAAGATCCTTCCACCCAGCAGATCTGTAATGCCAAACTTTGCGCGGCTTAATCGTTCCCCAACATTTATCGGTTGAAATAACAACAATGAATCACCGATTCATGTTTTATTAATAGAAATGAAAACATGAATGAATATGAATGTTCAAAGTGAAAGCTTTTCATTTTAAGAATTATAAAACTCATATGGAAATCCAAACCCAGAGACAGCGAAATACCTATTGAATAATAATTAAATTGAATAAAAAGAAAAACTGAAAAATTCATTGTTGTAGCTATGTTTATCATGGTTAGTAGCAATTGAATAGTGGGTTCACTTCATTGTTGCATTTTCACAAATTTCACATGAATTATCTCAAAAACCAGAAGATTTTTCTCTCACAGGAGATCTCGCTGCCTCGCAATAACGTTGTTGAAATACATTGTCTTTTAAGGTGCATATTCACCAAAATAGCGAGCACGAGCGAGCACGAGCGAGCATTCGTGTATGTTTGCTCATGTTCGCTCGTGTTTGCTCGACATATTGATATCTCATCCACACCAGAGCGAATATCTTCAAGTTCATAGTTGTAGTTGATCGATCTACTTTGTGAGAGCAGTACGTGCGCGTTAAATATGTCTGAAGGTGCGTATTCACCAAAAAAGCCTGCACGAGCGACCATGAGCGAGCATTCGTGTATGTTTGCTCGTATTTGCTCATTATTGATTATTGATGCAGAATGCTCGTTCATTCTTATTCGCTCTTGTTCGCTCGTGCTCGCTTTTTTGTGAATACGCACCTCAAGGAATAGACGAGCGAATACAACTCTCTTCAAGAATTATTTTAAAAATAATCCTGTTTTCATTAAAAACCAGAAGTCGGTAATAACAATATTAAATCACTGTTACAGTACTAGATTAAATTCGAACAACATCCTTTGAACTAATAAATGTATGCATACTTTTATAAATTAGCAAAGTTGAAAAATAGTGAAATTTTTTCAGTAGCCCGCTTTTCGAGTTTTTTGCGCTACTGGCATAACTTAAATTTAGCATCCCATGCGAATATTTCGCGTAACAGTTATGGGATCCAAGAAAGATACAAAAACCTTTGAAAAAAAAATATTTCATTGAAAACTGAAATTCATGACTCTTATATGCATTGAAAATCCCCCCATAAAGCCGGAGTTGCTAATTTGATTACATATATTGTTTTATATGTCTTGTGTTATAGATGTTTACTGGATAATTTTTTTATAATTTCACTCATTTTCACTGACTAGTCTAACTTTATTTGGATGTTTCTTCACACTGGCTTACTCATTTGTAATTTTCTCTATATACCATTAATTGAAACTTACATTCAGGAGGACCATCGGTTTCGTCGAATCCCTCTACTATAATTTTTTCTTTAGTCAGCACATCACTGTCAAAGTCAGTTTCAAGAAGTATTTTGCTTGTTCTACCCAACGAGGTTGTAGGTTCTAGGTAGATGTCACTACTTCTTCTACGTTCTGACAAATACCTTGGTAGATCCAACTCATATTTTTCTTCTAAATCGCTTGTATTTTTCCTTTTATCTATAACCAGTCTGTCGAGAAAAATGTAAAAAGCGCAGTTCGATTGAAATTCCTGTGCGAGACACCATATTATATCAACAAGTTGAAAAACAAAAGAGTTTGTATTCACTCTTTAAACAGGGAAAGATATGTAGGGGAAAAGGGGGTAGGTTCGGACATAGGGCACTTCCGGACATTTCAAATTTACCAGCAATGACACAAAATTCACCGATCAGAGACAAATACACCTCAAGGAGTAAATTTCAGGTAAGAAATGATGAGTCTATCAGGAAGAACGATTTATTCTTGTTTCGTCAATTTGTGATTCGTCACCTGCCCCAAAATGTCCTGTTTCGTCACCTGTACCTTTTTGACCTTTTCGCAGGTAATAATTTATTCCGCATTCGTCAACTGGGACTACTAGGGCCATAAAAGTCCGTAAACTATTTGATTTTTTGTTTGAAAAAGGTAAATGAGGTGACGAAACAAGAACACCTCAAGCAGGTATATTTTGCAGTTGACGAAACAAGAATAAAATGGGTCATAACAGGTAAAATTTCCCTAGGTGACGAAACACGAATTGACGAAACAAGAAACTACCGGAAGAACGCATATTTTCATTCATCTAACCTCAAAAAAGGATGATGATTGTTTAGTGTTTGAGGAAATTGTGACGATAAAACTCAAATATATACAGCTGGGGCATGTTCGGACTGTCTAGGGCTGCCCCTGCATCATTTTCGTGTTCGTCCAGATATGCCCCATGATCTATCTTTCAGTAACTTCTTACTGTTCGTAGGATGGTGACAACATACAAAAGAAAACGTCCTATTCAGCCAGAAATTCCTAGAGAAGTCTTGAAAAACGCTTTGAAGAATGTTATCAGCAAGAGTATGTCATTAAGAGCTGCTGCAATAAGATTCAATATACCAAAATCAACTTTATTCGACAGAATTTTCAGAGCTAAAAAACGTTCCAATAATAATATTGAAGACTCTGGAAATGAAGGTGGTGAATCAGAGGAAGAGTTTGCAACACGGCAAGTGTTTTCGCGAAATGAAGAAATCGAACTGGAGATATATCTCAAAAAGTCTTCAAAAATATGCTACGGCTTAACATATGAACTCTGTCGTGGTCTGGCTTTCCAATATGCTTCAAAACTGAATAAGAAAATTCCGAGAAATTGGGAAATCAATAAGAAAGCAGGAATCGACTGGATGCAATGTTTCATGAAACGCCATTCAAGGCTTTCCAATCGTAAACCTGAGAATACTAGTATAATTGAGCCAATATGGAGGAATTTTTCAATAATTCAGTGCAGGCCACATGTAATTTCTCACCAGATCTTATATGGAATACTGATGAAACCGGTATAACCACAGTCCTTCAAGCACCGAGAGTGATAGCAGAAACAGGATCAAAAGCTGTAGGACAATGCTTATCTGCGGAACGAGGATCTCTTGTAACGATGTGTGGAATAATATCGGCTGTTGGGGCTTTAATTCCACCTCTTTATATCTTTCCTAGTGTGGGGATGAAGGCTCAGTTCTTGTATGGTGCCGTTCGTGGGGCTGTTGGTTATGCTGAGAAATCGGGATGCATGTCGACCAGGGTCTTTCTCAAACTATTAGAACACATACAAAAACATACAAACAGTAGCCTTTCAAATAAAATTCTACTACTGATGGATAATTACGAGACACACGTTTCTATTGATGCCATCTTGTATGCAAGAGTATTATTGTATTATTGTCCAATGATCAAATTCAATGCTCATCTGAAAATCACGAAGTAGAAGATATAGTAAGGGATTTGTTGAACATAATAATACATGAAGCTACCAAACCTATCTAGAAAACAATTTTACCAATTTTGTGAAGAACAGGTATATTTCACCCATTAGTTTTTCAATCCTTTATTCACCAGCAAGTATTTGTTATATAAGACAGATGAGAGAGAAAATGAATTTAGTATTGATATTGATGTGGATAAGGTGGGAAATTTTGTTTCGAGTCGATGTAGATTGTTCTCTATGGTCATCAAATAACAATTCATCTAATATTAGTTGCTAAATTTTATTTATAACTCTTAACTTCTAGATTGGATTAACTTTTTTCAAATATGATATCAAACTTTTGAAAAAATTTTATGTTTCACTGTCTGGCTTGGCATCATCCTGTTTCAAATTTTGTGCTAATAGAAGCAGCTTTTTATTTTCTATTTCTGAGAACTTTCCATTTCTTACGTCACATAATTTTTTTCTATTTTTCTTTCCTTTTTGGGAAATTGTAGTTGATGCGGAGACAGATGATGGTCTTTCTTCATGTGAATGTGTGGATGATGTCGATATAGATGGTGGGTATGGTACAACACAAGGATCTATGTCTGATTGGGCATCTGTTCTATCGTCTCCTATATTAGAATGCATAACATCTTCCTGAGACTGCTCAAGCGTTGGTAAATTCCCATATTTAAGTGCCGGGGCTACTTGATCTTTCAGAAAAGACAGCATGTCAAAATATGATTCATGAGTTTTTGCAGCATCTCCCGAATGCGAAACCGAATTTTTCTTCATTTCACGCCAATATTTGTCCTTATTCTTCCAACGAGCTGCTACTGTTTCCTATGAAATATAATAATTTTAATAAGTTGATAACGTTGTTAGAAATTGTAGGATAAATTATAAATCTGGCAACTGCGCCAACCCACCACTTGCGTATATAGAGACAATAGTTTAGCAGTTGTTTGGTTGCCAATCTTATGTAAAGACGGTAACAATTAATTATTATTCATGAGTCAGAAGACAGACAGCAGTCCATACATTGCACATTTCGTAAAACATTACTTTGGCTTTCATTAGTACCAGTGAATAAATAAGTACAGTCCACTTTGGTACCATGTTAAACCCCTAACAAACTTTTTATGGCATTATTATTTTTTACAGATTTCTGACAACACGAACCACGTATGAACATTTGACACATAAATTTAGAATTGGAGATTCAACAGCCTCAGTAATAGTTGGAGAAACTTGTTCAATTATTTGAGAAGAACCAGTAGAATACCATATGCTAGTTTGCTCCCAACAGTTGGAACGAATCATTCAAGATTACAATACGTTGTGCAACTTCCAAATTGTTTTGCATCAATTGACGGAAAACACTGTCAAACAAGATGTCCTCTTAATTCTGGTTCGACTAAAATATTATTCTTTAAGATTGCAAGGGATTGCAGATGCCAAAAAGAAGTTTATTACTATTGAAGTGGGCTCGCGAGGATCGGAAAGTGATGATGGAGTATTTCAGTCTTCAACACTGTACTATTTTTTAAAATCTAAGCAATTTAATGTTCCCCAGCACAAGCACTACTAAATTCAAATATTATTTTACCCAATGTTATGATAGAATATAAAATTTATCAATTTTTTTTCTAACCTCACATAATAATATGAAATATACTTACTAGAAATACTTAATATCTCGGTCACTTCTGTATAAAGTCAATCTCTCAAATTTTCATTTTGGTATGATTGGAACTTGGTATTTCATAGCGCAGGTCTTGCTTGAATTTCTGCAATCAGCACCCACATGGTCATCCTCTGAATTCATTTTGAACACTGAACGCTACGAAAAACAATCCGGATTGTTCAGGACGCTATCGCTTTGCGAACGCTATATAGAACGCACCGCTCTATGAATGCCTGCACTCTGAACATGTTTGAATATATTGAATTGTTTAATATTGGACGCGACGCGAATGCGATCGCGGCGCCACGCTCGACGCTCCCATTATAAACAGAACTTTAGTCTACATCATCTCCTGAAGACTTCAACTTCGTTACTGAAACGCGCATGGACTAGAGTGTTGTAATTCTGGTGTTTGGGAGAGGTGTTCGTTTTGGATCGAATTTTTAAATAGTTGAACAAAGTTCAAGTTCAAAGTTCAAAACTTCTTGTTCAATTCGACAAATGTTAGGTAACCCTAAAAACAGAAGATGTTGAAAAATAAAAAGTCGGGATCTATGAAATAAATGGTGGAAACTGTGACAAAAGATATATCGGTCAGACTATGCGAGCTATTAAAAATTGTTTCAAAGAACAAAGAACAAAGAACATTGCCTTGGAGAACGATCATTGAATAAATATAAGTTAAGTTATTATTGATGCNCTTCAGTTGAACTATCAGCTGTTCCAATCAGAAATTTCAAATTAATCAGAAACCAATATTTACCAGACATGCGCGTTGATAACGATTTACAAACAGTTGGAAATCTGTTTGTGACTCAAGGTTGGAACGAACCTATTGATATCTCGTCCACACCAGAGCGAATATCTTCAAGTTCATAGTTGTAGTTGATCGATCTACTTTGTGCGAGCAGTACGTGCGCGGTAAATATGTCTGAAGGTGCGTATTCACCAAAAAAGCCTGCACGAGCGACCATGAGCGAGCATTCGTGTATGTTTGCTCGTATTCGCTCATTATTGATTATTGATGCAGAATGCTCGTTCACTCTTGTTCGCTTTTGTTCGCCCGTGCTCGCTTTTTTGGTGAATACGCACCTCAAGGAATAGACGAGCGAATACAACTCTCGTCTGCGTTGGCTAGAGACAATGTATTTCAACAACAACCGTTTCAACGCATAATCTGCGGAGCGTTGAATTGTACGTCCGTATGAATCAGGTCTTAGGAATCGAAACAAAAAGCTTAACAATAATAATTATTGAAATCAGAATGGAATGAATAGCATTGTATTATTGCCAATTATTGCACCTTTGCAAATTTTTACGTTAAGTATTCCAGGCAAATTCAATTTTTCATTTCAAATATTTTTTTGACTGGAAAAATAGAGTAGAGTACTTAATTCGACTATTTTACATATTTATATTTATGGCAAGTCACGAATACTAAAATCCTTGTTTTGGGAGTTACTAATAAAAAAATAAAAGTGGAGAGTGTTTTCTTAGGTTAATTGAAAGCATAAATACAAAATCAAGGAACTGAGGATTTAATGAGGTCTTTCACAATTTAATGG